AGAGAGCCATAGACAGAGTCTGTTGGAAACATCTGGAAGCCTTTACTTCTGAAGGGGTTCCGATAGACCGTACTGAAGGAAGCTAGGATATAGGATAACAAGCAAAAGAAAAAAATGTATTATAATTTGTTTTTGTCATGATTGGAAATAAAACGGGCTTTATTATTATTATAAAACCTGTAAAATGATATTTACGTTTGAAAAAGCATATGGCATATCCATAAAACAAACAACAAATCATTCAATTGTTATCATTGTTTGAAATCAAATATTAAAAATAATGCAGAAACGACAGGTAGGACGGAGCCTCGCATAAAAACAAAAAGAAACTTCCTAAATTTCGACTTAACAGAAATAGGAATCCTAATGTATATTAATAAGGTTCATATTTTAATGACAAATGCATAACAATAAATCTTGGGCCACGATGACACGTGTCAGGTAGACCGGGAGCTGTCAAAGTGACGTAATGTGTTTATTTATGACGGCCCGGCGTTTTCGATGACGTGGGAACATCCCGCGTCCATAGATTCTATTATACCATTGGGAATTTATTACTAAATAATTTGCATAAGCAAACATTTTTAATGAGGCTTATTTATAACGACATTTATTAATGACTGATGTCGTTCGATAGCGTTTTTGTAGCTTAGTCTATTAAAGTCATGTCGACAAACATAGACAATGTACAAATCAATAAATTACAAATCTTTTTATAGACACATAGCACGAATTCTTTCATCTCCCATCCCGCTCGCACCAACCATAAACACGACACGCTTAATTAAAACCGTGATTAGCATAAACAAATAAAATGCCCCATTACGAATTCAATTTACAATCTTTGAAATCGTTTGAATTAGTCGCAGTAAATAATACTTCGGGCACAGATCGTATAATACCAGAATGACATAAACCAAAAGAGGTTAGCGATTTCACTTTTTCTAGGCATTATCTGTCGGTTTATTTCTCCTATATTCACGGTAATTAAAATATATTACAGGCAATCGATACCGGACCCAGGTGGACCTTAGCATCCACAAGTATACTTCGCCATCGCAATGTATATAGTGATTCTTGTGTCCAAATTCGATTCGATCCGATATTTCTAGATCCTTGTCAACTAGATCCCACCAACCAGCCTCGGTCTACCGGGTTTTCTCTTGCCACTGGTTGTGAGTTCAGTAAGGACATTGGGGTTCTGTCGTCCGCCATTCGTTACACATCTCCCACCACTGTTGCAATTTAAGAATTGGACGATTTTGGCGTCGATGTTATAAAGTTCTTCATTGGTAGCAAATACGCAAAACACTGTTGCAAACAGGGCCAAAGATTCTTTGATCTTCCGCTCGATAATAAGAACATGCTCGTCTTTCTTGCTAATAGCTTCAGAACCATAATGTCGCAGTAGTTTTATACCGAACAAGCTTGATATTCTTTCTGAATTCGAAATTAGAAAAGAAAGAAAATACGTCTCAATGCACCAAAATCTTTCCTTAACTTTGGCTAACGAACACAATATGTATTTTAAAGATATGTCAAAGCAATACACACTCAATATCGCTACAACTCATGTCTCGCCCCAATTATTTTGACCGCAAGAGCAATGAATTCATTATATCTGACAGATGAGCAAACATTGCCCTTAGCTACACTTCTGACTTCTCATATGTATTCGCGATATACTCTACATTATAATGTCACTTTTAAAAAAAGAATATTGTTTCTGTTTGTAAACTGTCACATGAAGACGCAATAGTTTTGTCTATGGACAGAAAGAGGAATGAAATGAGCATACCACCGACCCTGACTAGGTATAGGTACCTCTGCGCAGTGTTGGCGTAACTGCGCACCAAAGGACTTTGTGTCAAAGTGTATTTAGAAGGAGAACAGCGTGAATAAGCCGGCTTTGAACCCAAAAAAGTCGACCGCGTGTTAGCACAGAAGATGGATTACCTACTTGCCTATTAAGAATAAATATTCCTCATGCAGACACAGAAATCTGAGGCCCAGACCTAGAAGGTAGCAAGCTACTGGTTTTTTATTCTAGGTTCCTCGAATGGAAGACATGCAAATGACGCAAGATATTCAGATTATCTCCACCTAGTGGTTAGGCGCTCTTTTAACCAACTTCTAACCTTTAAACCATTGCTGTGCACCAATGTTTTATCATTATGCAGAAGAAAGAAAAGAAAACTTTTAAAACCCAAAAAATCATCGCGAAAGGTTTGAATTATGTTCTGTCTCTATCACTTTCGCGTATGTTGCATATGAAGAAACGAGACCACTGGCGTTTTGACATAACCAACCTAAAATCCATGAAATGTAAGTAAACAAATTGCACGTTTATTAGTAACTTTAGATAAATAAACAGAAAATTAATAATGAAATTCATCTGATCACAAATGTATTAATAACATTTTTATTTAGCAATTAATGTTAACAACTCGTAATTAAAAACACTCCGATTGACTGCATTTTCTCCAGTATAAATAAAAATCGTGCAACGGCGACCTCGAGCCGGCGCGGGCGCAGCGGGACGCCATTGTAGACCTGTCTGAGGCTGAGGCTTGGAACCACACACCGCTAACAACTAGGCATGACCGCTGTCGATATTTTAATTAAATATTTACGAATTATTTTACGCCATCCATGAACAGACTGCCAAAAGGCTCGCTAACGCGCTGCTGGCCCTTTAAGAATTGATAATCTCTTTTATTGAAGGTTATGTCAAATTGATTCGGTAATAAACTAAACAATCTTTATAGATTGTGTAATTTCTTAATCGTGATTGTATCAATCAACACAATAAAAATTAAATTAAAATATTAGATAAATGACTATGGAACCTCACCTTTGACGTACCTACTATGCTACGTAGTGATAACGTCAAGTTTTTTACGTGTGTACACAAATACACATATGCTATCAAAAACATAATTTAAAAAACAAGTCTTCGCAGGTAAGATCGATGTAAAAACTTCTGTCCATTCAGTCCCTACTAAAGGGATCTTCTGTCATAATTGATTACGTAATTAGCTATCCTAACAACATCTTATACTGACCATACCCTGGACCTAAGGCAAGCCATTAGGCTGCTGCCTCGAATTTTGCGGGCAGCGGGGCGGCAGCGGCGGCGGCGCGGGAGCGGCAGGATCTTATGCGTAAAATCAAATGGACCGGTTCTCGAAAACAGCGGCGTGGCAGCGGCGCGGAGGAGGGTAACGAGAGGTGCAATCGCCGCCGCCCCGCTGCCCGCAAAATTCGAGGCAGCAGCCTTAGAGCGAATGTTAAATGCGCACTTAGAAAGAAAGTCCATTGGTCCGAAACGACCTCAGGGATGAGAGTCGCACGCTAAAGCCACTAGGCCAACACTGTTCACGGTGTGATAAATACAATATTAAAAACTATCGACATTGCCACATCCCTACAATGGCGCCACGTGGGCCAGCGCTGCGGGGCCTCATTGTTCGTCCTTTAATCTGACTCATATTCAGTTACCGCGGTTATATTACACGCCTACATCAACGAACAAAACATTCTACCTCCATACACCATACAATAAAAAAACAACTCTATTCCCTTGCAATAGAGTTCAGAAATCCTAAAAAATCCTTGCGATTTACGACAAATTCCTCGTAAATACAATTCAATTTTACTACTCTTAAACAAATATGAAGCATTCATAAATTATAGAACAAAGATTCATGTCACACCTTATTTTAAATCAGTTTTGTCTCAAATATAATGTCTCAAAAAAGATTTATTGATTAAATTTATTAGTTATAACCGGTTTTATGCTAATAAAAGGTAAATGTTTAGCGATTTAAAACATTCGTTAGAAAATATCTGAAAGGCGCTTCACGCTGCAATATAAGCAAGAATCTGTACGCATTTAAGGACGCATTTACGCACGCGCACGTGAGCGATACGTCAGTAAGTTTTCTAGGGAGTATGATTCCTCGGTCTAATACAAACAATTTACGTAACTGTTTGTTTCATATATTATTTAAATACACACAATGTTAATACTCGCAACAAACGCAGGCTGCAATTTCCCCGTACTAGACTATCTAAAGTTAGTAATTATTTTTGAAGTTATACTTCTTTAGGCGCGTTATGAAAAATTTATGAGAGTGAAATTTTACGATGCGCGCGCACCTGAGATACAAAATTGTCAGTGTGATTATAGCGTGCGCGAGCGAGATGGGAATAAGACAATCTACAAGTAAAAAGAAATAGAATATGCGTGAAGTTAGCAGCTATACCAAGAATTTTGAATGAACATAATGACATTTACCTTTTAAACAAATAAAGGAGTTTTAATTATTTTTTCAAAGAAATTTAGCAATGCTTTTTCACAAAGACCTATTGTTACTTAGTTAAAAGGTTATGAAACCTACCAAGTTATTAAATTGAATCAATAATATAATAAAAAAATAAATAATAATAATAATTGTTATTAATATTAATTAATAATTGAATAATATACTAAATATTAAATATTATTAAATTGTTTACGTTAAATATTAATTATTACTTAATTATATTTAAAAAAATAAAGAAAGCCAAAGAAGTATAACTTCTTACGCGCGTACATAAGTACACGCACCCTTTTTTGGGAAAAGGGATACTCTTCTTTAATAAAATCCCAGAGGCTCTTTTATCTCTGACTTTTAATAAAGTTAAGAAATATATTAAAGAAAAGCTGTGTAAATAGGCTTACTATAAAGTTAACGATTATCAAGTTGATAAAAGGGCCTGGGACTAGTGCTAGACAGGCTACTTCTAATTAATTTGCGATAATTGTTTTAAAATAAGTGTTGTTTGATGATTTGCTATTTCAAAAGAGTACCGAGAGTTTATAACGCCGGCTTTTTCTCTCGGCCTACACCCTCTGTCTTCTTTGCTGATGAGTAGGGATGTCTACAGATTCAAATTAAATGACGTGAAATAAGTGATACCTGTATCTTATGATCCATATTAAACATATTTTATTTTTAAATTATGTTTTCCTTTTCAAGAGGACTTACCTCGGGGTCAATCTTCTTATATTCCGGATCCTCTTCATCCACTTCAAAGTATAGTTCAGTAGCTGTCAGCGACAATGTGCCGAGGGCAGCCATTCCACCCGATACTAGACGCGCCCGCGTGCTCATGTTTACAGGACCTGGAAATACACAAATATTTAAAGTGCCAATTTTCATTTGATTGTATCGTCTCTTTCTTCCACATTGTGTTTACGCTATTATGAAAAGAGACAGATGACTTAAATCCGTATGTGCTAATTCAAATATTTTTTGAGATAAGCGAAATTACTGAACTAAAATTAATGCAGTTTTAATCTATCTGTCAGGTTTGCCTACAGCAAATAAACATTAATTCCAATAATTTCTGTCAAAACAAAGATTCCAACCTACTAGGGTCGCATAACAATACAAGATGGTTAGATAATTTAAGGCATGAAATTCTCCAAAGAAGTAATAAAAACTTTACCACTAAGATCCTGTTCTGCATCCCTCTCATCAATGAGTAACTCGGCGTCATCGAGCAACTCCTGCGCAGGCGCAGCCGGTAACTGTGCACCTCCCGACACGCCCGCAATTCGCGCATGGAGTTCCTCTGTCGCCTGAAAATTTTACAAATTAGATCCTTAGCCATGCTGAGAGCCTGGTATATCATAGTAGATTAATATGAAAAATGCCTACTTTATAAGAGTTTTTTTTTACAAATAATACGAAATATATACCTATATAATATGTATATTATGTACCTACTACCTATATAATAATATATGTCATGCCTCGGGAAACGAAGTCGCAAAGCACTATTACGACTGTTTTAATGTTTTCTCATTATTAACTTCCTTGGGTGATGTACCTACTAAAAATGTATTTTTTTTTCTACGGAAAATATATATTGTGCACAACTTTAGTAATACTCGTTTACCTAATTTTACTTTCCTGAAGAGCAACCACAATAAAGATGTACTTCTAAATGTAATTCCACCTAATAATCATAAAAAGTTAATGCGACAGTTTAAAAACAAGTATAGAGTGGTAATAATAGATCCCTGTTCACCAAGGTATTTCCGCAAAAACAGTGGTAATAAATTATTACGATCTAGACATTCGTTAAAATGTGCCGGCGTAATGGACGATCACTGTCTCGTCCGTAATTATGTTTAAACAGTGAAGGCTTTTGCTCTTAATTAGATACATTACTGTAATGTACATTTAGTAATAATACGTAACAATAATGATTAAATCGTCAAATAGGAAAAGTAGCTTTCATTTGATATATACATATGTATATGTAATGTATTTAGTATCCTAGTAATATTACTTTTTACTTTTCATGAACAAAATACATTTTGCTTTTACGACTATTTCCCTGGGGCAATCGATATAATTGTACCAACGATTTACTTGCATACTGTATATTAACTTACTACCTATGCTACATACACAAAAATCTTGATTATATTACTAAAATGTTTATGGGAGTCGAGGTAGCAAGAAATCTAAAACTTAAAATAAATTTTTCTTTTTCTTTCAGGGGTCTGAAAGAGTCAAAAAATTTACCAATTCTTCAACATACAAGTGCCGCGTAATATAAAAAAGGGGGTGTGTACATTATTAAAAATAGTTTTTGATTGCATGCAAATAATTAATTACAATTAAATAATCAAAGACTGGAAAAGGAGTCATTACAGTCAATAAAGTTCAGTTTACATTTTTCAAAAATTAAATAAATAAATATTTATTAATATTATATTTATATTTATTATTATTTTTTGTTGTTTTGTTTAGTTTTAGTTTAATCCTGATCAGTGGATATTATTGAGTATTGATTTAAATATTCAATTTAAATCACTTCTGATTATAATTCAGACACACATATAAAATTCGCACTTGTATAATGAAAACGTGTTTTAAATGTAGAAACTCAAAGCATGTGGATAAATATTATAAATATAAATACACAGTGAACAGAGGCGGCGTGCGTGCCAACATGCGCCACTAACTTCATTCTGTTAATTTTGTGTCACGGTGCGCGTGCATCGTAAAATTTCACTCTCATCAATTTTTCATAACGCGCCTAAAGAAGTATAACTTCAAAAAATACCTGTAATATAGCATCTGTTGGTGGGTGTGGCTGGGCATGGTGCGTAGAATGCGCGCGCTCATCATGTCGTCTTCCGCGCGCGTCTGGAACTAGACGTCGACGTCTCCTCGCGTCGTCTTCCCATGAATCCAGCTTCCAGTGCTCGCAAGATGGCGCTCCGCTACCACCACAGCTAGCGGCGCATGCGTGGTGAAGCTTATCGAGCATCCGAGCAGCGGACGCCGTGTCTCTGCGTCTCGCTCCCGCAATTAAACGCTCGCACGTCCGCTCTTCCTCTCCGCGTTCAGCACCCCATGTACCGCAGAGGCACTGTGAATTTTCTCTTTTGTTTTATGTCATCCTGGTACCATTATTCAATAAGTACTAGACGACATAATTAATTACAATTATAAATTTTAATTATAGGTTAACAAATATATATATATACATATAATACATACTTTTTACAGCATACATGACAAATAATAAAAAGAAATATAATTTATTTACATAACATTCATATGTGGTGGTCGTCGTCTAAAATTGAAAAACATTTCGTATAACCAAAAATGATATAAGCGGTGGCATAAATTCTGTCAAGTAAAAGAATTAAGTATAATTATGTTGTACTATATAAATCGTGAAATGAATTGTAACATTCCAATAAAATTAAGAGATATTGAAAAAAAAAATAACGTATTTGAAATGGTGCTGGACCGCGCACATGACGAGAGATAACAGGTTGAAAAGGACAAAATTATTACAGAATGGCAACTAACGACATGGAAAAAGGAAAAGAGAAACACAGAGGAAGAGATGGGCAGACGATATAAAGAGAATAGGAAGCGCAACTTGGACAAGAAGAGCTAACATTAGAAAATAATGGAAGCAGCTGGAAGAGGCTTACATATCACAGTACACGCTGATCACCAAAACCTGATGCCACATCTTATATATTAGATTAAGTTAGGTTAAACTAAGACAAATGTTTATGTTTTACTTTAAAACGTTAAACTTTAAGTAGTATTAATACTAAACTTCCAAAAGAGGTATATCTATTGACCATTGTAATTCAATCCTTTCAATTTCAGCTTATAAGTGTTTTGTACATGTCCCAAAGAGGCACAGCACTTTGGCAGACATATTTCACTTATGGTTTTTGGAACTTTTATACCAGGCTACTATAAAAATAACGTTTGTTTGTGTTAGAAGTACCTCGAAATCAGCATGTTTCAGAACATCGTCAGCCCTCATTCTATTCAGAATGAACTCCGCTTCATTAGCGACTCGGACAATATGATCTCTCATAGCATGAGATAACAATCTTCCTTCATTGATCAGCTCAATAAATGCCAGGCCAGCATGCTTCTGTAAGGAGTTCTGCCACTCTTGAGAGCAGAGCAACATCACCAGTTCCACCACAGACGTGCTGGTCTTAAACGTTTGAAGACCTGGAATTTTACATATAAAAGATATACCAGCAACAGAAATAAAAGGAATATATGATTTTCTTTTTCCTCTGAAAATTGAAGGACTTTTAAATGTTTTAACTACCAGGATAACATACGAGAGCAAGGGTTTTATGTAAAAATATTAAGGAAGAAGTATTGGTATGTTATCTAAAGGGCTTATTACACTACGCGGTATTCAGACAGTCTTACTAAGATTTAGCATAATGTAATAAGAGTTAGCAAGTTAGCCTGTCTAATTAGACTGACCGAATGGGTTCGGCGGTGCTTACTTGCTTACTTGCTGAATACCGCCTAGTGTAATAAGACTTAGCACGCTTAACCGTTCAGTCAGCGCGTGGCAGCCGCAGAGCAAAGACGTTCGTACATGTTTGTTTGCTGTGGCCGCGTGCACCATGGCGTGTTCGCAAGAAAAAAATGTACTTTTCAATATTATCAATTTGTACCGAGACATGCCAAATTTATGGCTGCATGATTGATTGATTTATTGATGACCTTAGGTTTTTTTTTTAATTTTTTTAATAATTTATTTCATAACCATGGATACAGAGTCCTTCAGGATGACCTTAGGTCTTGATAGGAGTTGCCCGTTGCCAGGAATCTTAAAGTAACTACCAATATTTGTTAGGACTGACACTTTGTCTAAGAACCGTATCTTCTTTTTGAATGTATGGAGTAACTAATTTCAATAGACATTCAAACTCGGTAACTCCTACTCTAAGGTAGTTTCTTAAGTCACATGGTTCCAAAACACTCAGTATTTGCATATTTGATAATAATTTTTCTCGCAAAAGTAAATACTCTTTCACCCATATGTTTCTTTTCTTTATTTAAATTAATAGACGCGGCAAGAGCCATGGCGATTTTCTGGTGCTTTGAAAGTTTTCCCATCGCGAGACAACCGTCACCGACTACGTACGCTTTGCAAATGAGTAAAATGAGTTAGCACTTAGCACTTAGCTTGCGGTATTCAGTCCAGTGTAATAGCAAGCTTGCCTAGTTAGATTTTAAGACAGTCTTACTAAGACTGTCTGAATACCGTGTAGTGTAATAAGCCCTTACCAACTCTTCTTATTTAAAGGCAAACTGTTAAAACGTGATGTGCTTTTCGCTACTGTTTATGTTGATCTTTACTGTACATGTTGATCTTTTTTCTCATTATTATTTTGTCTGAAGTTATGAAATTGAATATTGCTTGCCTTCAGTTAAAAGCTCCTGTCCATGGCTGCCAACGAGTGTTTTTGACAAAAATGGTGCAAAATCCAACATGATTTCACGAAGTAGTGGGCATACAGCACCCAAGGCACGTTCCAATTTATGTGTGAGAGAGGCTTCACGAGCCCCTACACCCGTGATTTCACAGCCTGCATTATCGCTACAAGTGGTCGCTGCTTCCTGCTGATACATACATTTATTATTCAGAAGCTGGCAAAGTTTCAGTTATGTTTTGTCACTTTCATTTATTAATAAAGTGATAAAGACAGAACACGGCTATTGATTTTTCTAGAAACATGGCAAATTAAAAACAAAAGTAATTAAATTAAATGCATTTATTTCTTGATTTAGAAAAATACTAGATTTTAAATGAACTAGAACTAGACCGGGACGAGAATTCGATTAAGCCTTTGGAATAAAAAAACCTGCATGAAGATAAAAATAAAAAATATCAGAGGCGCTACAACCTTTTTAGGTCTGGGCCTCAGATTTTTATATCTATGGCACATGCCGTCGACTTTTTGGGCCCTAAGGCAGTTTCCTCACGATGTTTTCATTCACCGTTCGAGTGAATGTTAAATGCGCACATAGAAAGAATTGGTGCACAGCCGGGGATCGAACCTACGACCTCAGGGATGACAGTCGCGAAGCCAACACAGCATGATTAATATATATAATAATATATAATCGATTGATTAAATCATTTTTTTATAAGTAATGAAAATCATTCAACCAAACAAATTAATTTCAAAGTACCAGGGTATCATAGGGCAGTGAGAGGTATATCTACCTGATGTAAGTGTCTTTGGGCTGCTTGTAAGTTACGATTTTGCAAACGTTGCACGTGTTGTTCGCTGCGTAGATGTATTTGTTTCTCTATTTCTGTAAATATAAAATATTTTTTAAGATTTAATACCTAGGAGAGTGGTACCGGGTTCGATTCCCGGTTCGAAGGCAAGTTTTAATTTAATTTAAATTTGTTCTCGGCCTTTGGGAGGGTTGTGCGGTACCGGGCGAGTGCTTAAAACCGTACATGGAGGACACGGTCGAATTTCTAAAGACAAGCACGAATTATAAAAAATCCTATACTTGACCTGGCTAATGAATAATTCGAGTTAATAAATTTAAACAACAAAAAAAACGATTTTTGAAGGAATCATTTCATAATTTTCATCATCAGATTGGTTTTCTGGATCTGTTTCCTTATTACCACCATTAGAATATCTCAAAATATACAGTTGAATTGAGAAACCTCCTATTTTGAAGTCTGTCAAAAAAGCGTTACGAAGATGTCTATGCACTCCGTGTACCTATGATGCAAGGAAATATTTTGGATACAAATATGACTTTGTACCTTCATGATCTCGTGGTCTTCCAGAAATAGTGGCTGGTCCACGTTCTGCGTCATCATTCAAATTCACGTCAGTCCACGACTCATCGTTGCTCACCTGAAATTTACGATCATATCTTTAATAATAACTGCAAGAGTAGTTTTAATCATTAAAATAGAAGCGCGATTTCATTTTAAACTTCTTGAGGCGCATGAGAGCAAAATTTAAAAAAAAAAAACGTCACGAAGATGTGCGGCCTTTTCGTCGAAGAAATTGGAGAGAGCGATTGAGACCGATTGGGAGAGAGTGAGAAGGGTGAATTACCTTATAGAAATTCTATTTTTAAAATTAAAATTTCGTAAAGAGAATTTATGAAATATTAGTATTTTATATTTTATGCAAAATAATTTATTGAAATGTCAAATTATGACTTGTAAATTAAAATGCCACGTGATTTTATTATCGAAGAAAAAAATTCTACGTATAATTTCCATTAATATTCAACACTTTTAATATTTTAATGACAATTAAATTTATTAAATTCCTAACATATCTTCCTTTTCCCCTCCCTCTAAGTCTCGGAAATCTAATGTTTTAAATTTGTTAAATATGAACAAGTTATAAATTAGTTTGCCAAAGAAGTTTCACTTCTGACATGTGTACTGTTCGCACACACTTTTTTTTTACTGAAAACATTACATAACTCAACATAAAACATCTAGTATTAAAACAGTTTAAATCTTTAATTTAACTTTTAACAATAACTTAAACAGTCTATATGCACCCTGTTAACTAAAGTACTTCTCTCTTTTCATTAGAGCGTGAATACAATTCGACAGAAAGAGACGAAATAGGATTTTCGATAAGTTTTTCATCAAATGTTATCAGCGACATCTTTGGCGACAATTGGTAACTACGTCAATAAAATTCCTCCCTTTACAAAGCGCCATCTTTGGGCGACAATTGGTAACTATGTCAATAAAATTCCTCCCTTTACAAAGCGCCATCTATCACAGATTACCAGCAACTATATAACCACTTACGGGATGTTTATTGTCGTCCAATGCAATCTCGCTAGATGTCTCTGGATCATTATTTGTTGTCTCTGTGGAGTTGAGATGGAACGACCCCGCGTCCTCAATGGAATCCACACTCTGTTAAGTTAACACTTATCTTATGAAAACTTAAGAAACTAGCTTAAATTTATTGATTGAAAATTTCAATTGAATTTGTGCTGTTTTTTCTCATTCTCAAATCAGAATAACCGTTTGATGTACCACCAGGCTTGAATAAACAACCGGGTGTTAAACTAGTCATTAAGTACCAGGGTATAAGAACCAATATAGAGCCTATTGGTTAAACTAAACGAATAAATTCAAGAGCGGATAACCAAACCTGATCAAGTTCTTTTGAAATTCTTATTCAATATATAACATTTAAAAGTTTCACACAGTAGAAAAAAGAGAAATAGAGGGAGTGGACATGCAAACGAGACAAAAGATGTGTGGAAAAAGCGAAGCAATAGAATAAACACACATGCTTACATGCTAAGTCATGTTTTTAATCACTGTATATAGCAATACTTACTACGTCGACGTTATTCCATAAACTATTGCTTGATAACTGGGTAATTTAATCCAATTCGATATTTTAAGTGTCAAAGCTGTGTTAATATATTATGTTAGTACAGAATTTAAGATATATAACGGCGTAATAAAAATATATCTTTTTTATTAGCGAAAAAATTGTGTAGTGTGCTTGTGCTAGCGTTTTTAGTTTTCACAGCTGCCGAGCGTCACACGTGATTTTTAAACGTGACGTATACGTAACGTATACGTATAAATTAAAGCTGTGTTAAGATCGGATCTGGATAGCCGTTACGTACCAGGCCTTAAGAACCAACAGGATGTTAGATATTAGCCGTTTAAAGTACCAGGCATCAAGAACCAATAAGGTGTTAGAACTAAATAGCCTCTCAAAGTACCAGGCTTCAAGAACCAATGAGATGTTAGTTAGAACTGGATAGCCATCAAATGTACTAGGCTTCAAGAACCAATAAAGAGGTGTAACTACGAACCAGTTTGACCACAGACACCGTGATTCCCGATAGAGTTTTTGATCTGGAGCTGGGAGGCTTACAAAGGTAAATAATTATTAGTATCAGTTAGTAGCACACTGTCTAATTACTAGACATCGTAAGGATGTACAAGATTCAAAAACCTTAGGACACCGAAGGTAGAAAGAAGAGTAGAGACTACTAGAACATCGGTCGGTCCTTAGCTCACCTTGGGCGCGCGCGCAGGTCTTCTCAAACTCGACTGGAACAGCGGTTCCTCTCTTTCGGCGGTTGGAGTAGCTTCTACGGTCTTTTCAGATGGTTTCACTTCATCAGTGCTGGTTTCAATTTTCGCGATGTTTTCGCCATCCTTTATATGCAAACGCGACAGCAAAATAACAATGGATGTAAAAAGCGTCAACACGTCTACACAAACCGCTGACAAATCATTGGTACCATTCTTCTATTACTCTACTTCATACATGCCAAGATGTAGATTTAAAAATGCTTTTACGAAATGAGAATTTAAATCTAAATATCTACTAAGTAAACCATGCTGGATGGTAAAGCGAAATACCTTCATGGACGGTGAGTCCAGGTCGTGAGCAGTGGAGTTGTTTTCGTCAACAACAATCATTGCGTATTCAACGTCCTCTGCTGTTTCATCTGAAATGAAAATTGTATCATCTACTAGTAGCTACAAGAGATCAAGAAGCATTCAAAGCGGAAACAAGACCTTCAGCAAACATAGAAGCTACTAAATGTACTACAATTGAAACATTTAATGATTTAATAAATGAAATCGCAAATAAAAAGAACAAGTTAGCAATGGCGAAAGCGTGTGGGTTGGATATTTTGACTCCTAATTTTTTTGGTTAAATTAAGAGACAAAATAACGGACGCAAACATCGACCATAGGAATTAGTTGACAGCGTTCGCATCACGAAATATTAGCTGTAGCTTAGAAGCGATACGAAAGCATACTCTTTCATTTATGATAACAGTTTTCTCGCTGATAACATGCCTACAAGAATCGTAATCATGCTTTGTTGCTCACATCAACACCAACTATGCAAAATCCCGGACATACAACGACCAATATTTAAGCCTTGACTTGTTTAAGCTATCGCGGAATCTTGAAAGGAGTATTTAGAATATAAAAAGCGGTAAATCTGCATCATGAGCACACCCCACATACACACCATCACACAATACAGCTGAATTAGTTATAACATAGATAAACATTTTTAATATTTTTTTTATACTTTTGGAAATGTTTGAACCTTTTTCTAAATATTATGTATTCCATCTTTAGTACAATTGCTTTTTATTATATATACTTTATGTTCGCTGTACGGTGGATTACGAAATAAATATATAAATAAACATACTGCTTCTAAACATATAATTTAACATAAGTGTCTCTTCCACAATTCTCACGCATTCTTCAAGCTTTTTAAATGATTCTTTTATTTTCTTATATCCTAGTATCTTCTAGTGCGATTGCTATCATTTGTAATTTGATCTTGTCACGTTATGTCAACCCTCATTCATAATACCTACGTTCTGGCCCTAAAAATCTTACATTATTAGCAACACTGGAACCTATATCAGACACAAACATTCTAGGTACATTTTCATATGCTCTTTTAGAAGTCCTATAAATTTTAGACTTCATTTTCCTGTATTCTTTCTACCTTGTAACACTAATTTGAACAGAAGACGTAGATGCGAACGCGTCTGGCCGCACGTTTACCTGCGTGCCCGTGCGCGTGCGCGCGGTGGTAACTAGCTATGCGAGCGTGCGCGTGCGTGTTAGTGCTAATGTGCGCGCAATCCAGTTTGCAGTGCGCGTGACGCGCCGCCTGCGCACCACCCAGGAACTGCGGGTAGACGTGATGCGACCACTGCGCGAAAAGGGGCCGGGACCCGCCAGCTATACCAGGGACCAAGGAATACCACGGACCAACCCAATTCGGAATGATTTTGAAGGTAGCAAAATGATAGGACGGAGTATTTTATGAAGATGACGTTAAAGATCCGACGATAGAAAAGAAAAGATGGAAATCAAAAATGAAATCAGAAGATTATAAATATAGATGGAAGGACAAATTAGTCGTTGCCGCATTCGATAAACACAAGGAATAGGACGTTATAAACAAGAGGAAAAGAAGAGAGGAGGAAAATAAAGCATTAAAATGGCAGAAACAATGATTAGGCGGTATACGGAGATATACAAATGATGATGTTGAGGGTAAACAGGATAAATGTGTGTGTGTCGATGTATGATCATCGCAGTGTGAAAGAAACGTAATCGTTACCAGTGTCCAACGTGACGCGGTATCAAGCGGCGTGTAAAAGAGGAAACATGATATGTCAAATATACGCCTTCTAGGGCTCGAATTGCAGTCAGAAGCTTAAGCAGTTTGATCAGGTATCTACTGTATACCTTAATATAGCTGAAGATTTCAGCGAAAGTCGGATACTGCGTCAAGAAACAAAAATTATTTTACACTAAAAAAACAATTATATCGTCAATATAAACGAACACCTCCAAAGGTGTAAGTATATGTTACGTTCATATTAAATTTGATTTTGCTTTAGCTTTTGACTGCTTAAGATATTTTGAGCAGATTTATCCCTGATTACCTAGAAAATATTAATATGAAAGTGCAATAAAGCATGAAAAATAAGCAAATTAATGAAACTATAGGAATGCTTTTGTATGATAGCTATCAAATAAACTTGAGCTTGTAAGTAAAATATATACATTATTCCTACACATAGTCGGAATATTAAGCATATAATATATAATTATATTAAATAAGGATTTAAAAAGCAATATAGCAAATTAAAATAAAGACAAATACATATACAATAGAAAGTTATAGCAACACAAAGTGATAAAAGTTTCTAACGCCGTCAGTAGATGGCGTTAATCATTTATTAGCAATATTTGATGATATTCAGAAATTGTATTTATATTAAAAATATTAAGTACCGCATTTTTGGACCTCTAAATGACGGTCAAATCAAATAATTGTATTTAAAAAAAGCCATATTCATTAAAAATAAACGGCAACATTGCGTATCTATTGTAAAGTACACCGTAATGCAAAGCAGTAAAGTCGCTATTCCAATTCAAGGGAAAGAGTGGCTTGCTTGGGGGCCTCATAGCCTAGCGGTCTTATTAAGTGGCAGCTAGGTGAGGGGTACCCGGGTTCGATTCCCGGTTCGAGGGCAAGCTTTAATTTAATTTAAATTTGTTCTCGGCCTTTGGGAGGGTTGTGCGGTAGCGGGCGAGTGCCTAAACCGTACATGGAGGACACGGTCGAAGTTCTAAGGCAAGCACGAATTATAAAAAAATCTTATACTTGACGCTGGCTAATGCACAAACCGTGCCAGAGTCATTAAAAAAAAAAAAGAGTTGCTTGCTTTTAGTTTTCGACATAGTTACAAAATGAATTAATAGATGGCAGCACACGCTTTGTGCCTTTATAAAAACGCGGTATCAAATTAATTGATAAAATACCCAAATTCTACTAGTGTTATATATAACATATCACCAAATACATTTTATTATTAACACTATTTTATAAATAATAAGGTTCAACTCAGTTAACGTATACGTACCGTGTTCATGGGTGTGGTGAATGCGACGTGCGCAGTCTGTTGACGCAGTGGCGTGCGGTGGTGGTTCCAGAATGTCGCGGTACTTCGACACCATAAGCACTGATATAAAATAGACGATGGCTAATGATAAGAATTGAGCTTGTTTCGTTTCCTCCTGAAAATTTCAAATATTTAATATTAAATTAATGTTATAATCATTAATGAAATTTAAACTTAACAAAATTTAACCGATGTGAAACAAAAGATTTGTCAGTTTGCCAAGTTACATACATATTTGTATGTGTATTCTAAGTACTGTACCTCCGAAACTCAGTGATATATAGAAAGGGTTTTTTTTAAATAAAATTTGGTTTTGATTTTAATTATATTATCTAAGAGAATGTTATGATATGATCGAATCAATTGATTGTTAATTTTTATTGTGGCTTTGATAATCATTGAATGATAATCATGATTCTTAAAAGTAATAGGACAAATCTATTACTTTTAAGAATCACAATTAATTTAAATTTTTTTGTCTTGTTTTTTTCATAGCTTGGAATCAATCTTAATTAAAATTGTACGATAATTATTCGTGATTAAATTACTTTTTTTTGGAACGAAGTTCCTTATCGCGCGTTGTGAAAGGGGGCTAGACGGAAAAAATTCTTACGAAAAGTTGTCACGACACTTTTTTGCTATTTGCTATTGTAATACACCGGTTCTCGTCCGATCACCGAAAATAAGCAACGCCGGGCGAGGTCAGTACTTGGATGGGTGACCACCTGAGAACACCTCGTGATGTTGGCTTTTTTTTTTATCGAGCGTTGCGAAAGGGGGCTAGACGGAATAAATTAAGACCAAAAGTTGTAACGACACTTTTTGCTATAGTTGTTATATTTTACATTTTCGATTTAGTTATCGCCAACGTCCATACCACGTTGAATACACCGGTTCTCGTCCGATCACCGAAGTTAAGCAACGTCGGGCGAGGTCAGTACTTGGATGGGTGACCGCCTGGGAACACCTCGTGATGTTGGCTTTTTTTTTCGTCGTAAGATTGGTGTCGAGATAATCTATCATACTGTTATGATACCAATTAACATAAATAAATCGAAAGGAATTTCGTTCCATCCGGGTGTCCCTTGACACCTCTAAAGTTTTTATTTTTATTTATAGGGGACTTACAACATCTCTGTATATAACAGCTCGCAGACGATTAACATCCATGTCTTGTAACAGCCTTTCTGGGTCTTTTACGGGACTCGACGCCTCTGCTAAACTCGCTACTACGCTCTGAAAATTATTTAAAAAATTTGTAATTAATGTGGTTTACTCAGAAAGATTTTTGTTTTATAAATCCTTAAATGCTAGATCGTTTTTGATAAAAAATGATTGTTAATTTTTAAATTGAAGCTTTTTTCGGCGCATGAGGGTAAATTTTTACGGATGAAATGCAATAATAATAATATTAGCGTCACGAAGATGTGCAGCGTTTTTGTCGAACAAAAGGGACAGAGCGATTGAGACCGATTGAGAGAGAGTGCGAAGGGCGAATTACTTAATAGTATTTTTATTTTTAAAATTAAAATTTCGTTAAGAGAATTTATGAATATTAGTATACTTTTATATTTAAATTATTTTGCTAAATTATTTATTGAAATCCCAAACGCCGAATTGTAAATTAAAATGCCACGTGTTTTTACTATCGAAGAAATAAATTTATAAAATTAGATGTGTTATTTGTATTAACTGACAGCTAATATTTTAATTAGGGATGCATCGATACGCTTTTTTGCCGATACGATACCGATGCCGATACACTTAAAGGAATATCGTCGATACCAACGCTTATTGAATTAAAATGAAATTAAGGTAAAATATATTAAGTTAAGTTAAAGTTTATAATTTTTATTAAATATATATACAAAAAATAGTCACAAACTTTGAATAATTTTAAAGGTGTTGTTACTAAAATTAAGAATTAAGAGTAATCATTAAATTAAATTAAAAAAAATAACTGTAAATAATTAAAATTAACAATGATAACATTGTTGTAATTCTGTATTTTATTAAATTTGGTATCGAAAAAATACTACTCGCGATAGCAGTTAAAAGTCAACTAAATGATCTTCAAATCTACGTTCAATAAAGTCTCAATGATCCATAATATCAAATAACTATGCGCTGGCAAAGATAGTTGACTCGAGAAAAAATTTTGGTCTACTAATCAATCCAACAAGAGTTTTTCCTACTAACTGACGTGAGACTGATCGTAAATTATCGTGATTCATGTGCACTTTTTATTTTTCATGTAGACTTTTTTAAGTTTATATTATGTAATATGTATTTTTGCCCTCCTTTTCATTTAATTATGTTAAATTTTTATATTGTAATTCAACAAAGTGTTAATAAATAAATAGTGTTTAGCGAAATGAAATACATATATTCATTATACATAAATAATAATGCTTTGTCCCCAAGCGAATGATAGAGACAACAAACTGAATAAAACGCGGGTATTTCTCGGGCAACAATAGTCCGTGGCTCGTTTGCAACAAACTAGATTATACAAAATGCGCGTTTACATTATTTTTTAAAGCGTGAAATTTGAAAAGTATCGGTGAATCGGCAATGAAAATATCGCCGATGCCGATATATCGGCAAACCCAAAGTATCGCCGATATATCGGTATCGGCATCGGTATCGGATGCATCCCTAATTTTAATGAAAATTAAATTCCTAACATATCTATGTTCCTTTTTCCCTCCCTCTAACTCTCGGAAATCTTAAGTTTTAGATTTTTAAACAAGACTTAAAAATTAGTTTGCCAAAGAAGTTTCACTTCTGACATGTGTACTTTATACGCACGCACTTTTTTTATAAAATTGCTCTTGAAAGACCCATTTGATTTTTTTATATAGAAAGATATTTATAGCATGAAGCCGTATTTTTAATAATAAAAAGTACTAGGACGTTATAAACGTTTCAGTGGTTACCTTTGGCGAGGGTGATTCGGAACTCCGTGTGGGTCGCGCCGCGCAGCGCTGTCGCTCCTTACACTCGAGGCAGTTGCGTACCGCGCACGTGCAGACCTGTCACACGCTACAGCTACTCATCCTATTCACTACGCTAATCTACTCTTACTCATACTATCCTAGTAACTTAAGATCAACACAAGAAGTTAAAAGTAAGCATTAACGTACACGGACATGTACATAGGCTCCGTATACGTACGTTAACTACGGATACTTAACATGAAAATATAAAATACAACTTTTATCTATTTCTAACACTTTACTATAACAGTTACAAGAAATACTATCGGTTCAATCTCTCAACTAATTCATGGAAAAGACAAATCTATCTATCTATTAACATAAACTGTCATTTTATTACTTAAACTACAATTTTACACTTGTCAACAAGGCCAGTAAATTATGAGTTACTTATAGTATTCGCTACATAGTATATTGTATATCTCATCACCCGTTTGCGTAGTTTAACATTTCGCTTGCCCCGGCGAAGAACGCCGTAAAACACTAATGCGACTGTTTTAAAGTTTTCACATTTTTTACTTCTTTGAGTGATTTATATAGCAATTATTTCAAATTTTTTGAAAAACATTTTCATAAAAAAAACACGATGTCTTTATTCTACGGAAATTATTTTGTGCAAAACGTCAGTAATACTAGTTAAACTAATTTTACTTTCCCGAAATAGATAGCAAGACCCATAAAGATTTAGTTTAGATTGTATTTCTACCAAATAATCGTAAAAGTTAATGCGAGAGTTTAAAAACAAATATGGAGTGGTAATAATATATTCTGCTACACCAAGGTCATAAGTGCGTGCTCCTACTTCACCATGCCTCCTGGTGATAGAGGACAAATCTTTCTTTTTAATTTAAGTTATTATTATTAATTACTTAAAATGTCACATGGGACATGGTGTAATGGTTGCAGCTCCTTACAAACATTTTGTAAAACTAAAAAATGGCGATTAAAAAGAGTGGCGGAGAGTTTATTGCCAGTTCTTCTCTCCCGTTCTACGCCCTTGATTTGAGAACTGGCAGTAAATGTAAAATTAGAAGCATTAATATGTATTTCTTTACTGACGAGTCATACATTATGTTACCTATATGATTAAATGATTTTTTACTTGAATTTATTTGTATATATATCAGTAAATAATAATAATAATAATGTTTTTTACTTTAGTTTACATAAATTATTACGATCTAGATTCTAGACATTCGTTAAAATGTGCCGTAGTACGGTTTCTGTGTCGTCTGTTATTATGTCTAAACAGTGTAACATTCGTAAAACGCTTTTGCTCTTCAGTCTCATTAGATAAATTACTGTAATGTACATTTAGTTATTTTTTAATTTTACACTAAATACAAAACAAAAATGATTAAATCGTCGATTAGGAAAATTATCTTGTAATATAACTGTTCCCCGGGGCAAATAATATATGAACCATTCTCTCTATTTAGTGGACAAAATAAAGAGAGGATTATTATTTTTAGATAGATAAGATTAACGACTATAGTAGAGGTCATTATACAGAAAATAAGGGATTAGAAATGTCGCTGGACCGGGCACATGACGAGAGATAGCAGGTTGAAATGGACAAAACTTATTACAGAATGGCAACCACGAGTTTTTAAAAAGAAAAAAGAGGAAGACAGAGCAAGAGATGGGCAGAGGATATTAAGAGAATAGGAAACACAACTTGGACAAGAAGAGCTAACATTAGAAAACAATGGAAGCTGGAAGAGGCATGTCACAGGACATGCTGATAACGTATGTATGTAACTAAAACAAATGGTTATATATATATTATACTGGGTGTCCTAAATAAAGGCTAATTAATAATACTAATTTATTTTTGAAGTTAAACTTCTTTTGCGCGTTAGGGAAAAATTATGAGTGCAAATTTTTCCGATGCGCGCGCACACCGTCGCAAAAAACCGACACTCTGAAGTTAGCTATACTCCACATTTTAGTTTTAACTATTGGTAGTATCGTTTTTTCTATAATATCAAAATTTTTGAAAAGGTTTTTATTTTGTTACGCCAAAAAAGTATAACTTCAAACGCGTGTACCTACATAAGTACAAACACGTTTATTTTGGAATCAACTTAGTTATTTCTTTAAAAACTCTAATATGTATACCATAAGTATCTCATATTTCATTGGCTCTTGTACCTAAGACAAAAGAAGAAATTCTATTACAAAGTGTCTAAAAACTTGTATATAAAAAGTCATACCAAGCGTAAACACTGCCGAAGTATTCCACCACTGGACATGTTCTTCTCAGCTTCCAATTCTCCGAAGTTCAGGGCACTTGCGAATATCAGTACGTCAGCCATCGACACAAGCCTTTGGAGGAAGGTAACTGCTACTTCGACGGGCATACCTTGAGTTGGTTCGATAACATCCAATTCACTCTGTAATAAATATATCTGAGGTCTTAGAAACTTTAAAGCTATTGCATAGGTTCTATCGCGGGCCTTGAGCGTGGAGACCGAATCCAGAAATTCCGTAACGAAATAAACCTAACACACGATGACGTAATAGGTGCGGCCAATACGTGTTAGAGCGGGACAGAACGCATACTGCGTCTCACATCGGTTTAGCGTGATCGGATAGGCGCGTTAGTCTGAGTCTGGTAGAGTGGTAGATTGAATTAATATCAAAGAAAAAACTTGAATGATTATCAAAGAAAAAAAAACTGCAAAAAATAAATAAATAATTATATTGCATAAGTTTATAAAAAAATGCTATGCAGTGTTGGCCTAGTGGCTTCAGCGAGTGTCTCTCATCACTAAGGTCGTAGGCTTAATCCCCGGCAGTGCTCCAATGAACTGTCTATGCGCATTTAACATTCGCTCGATAGGTGAAGGAATCATGAGACAAACCTTTAGACCCAAAATCTCGACGGCGTGTTTCAGGCACAGGAGGCTGATCACCTACTATTAGATTGACAAATGATTGTGAAACAGATACATAAATCTGAGGCCCAGAGCTAAAAATGTTGTAACGCCACAGTTTTTTTACATATCGTCTTTCTATGAATATTCGTGCTTCCGTATAGTTCCTAAAACGTCCACGAAGCACTTCTTACCTATCTAAAACTAAAATATAACGAAACTTTTCTAGAACTATATTATTATACATATTTTTAGTCCTAAGGCTTCTGAACAAGGAGCACACTTCTGTACAAGCAAGACGAGAACATTCACTACCTACTCAGCCCATATGAACAAAGTAACACTGCTCTTACTGACACTATTAGCATTTTTGTAACCGTTTATGAAGTTCCAACTGGGGTTTGTCGTCGAGACTTCAACCAATATTGGTTGAAAGCATTAAATTTATCATTAATAGCTAACTCGATTGACATTAAAAGTTATAGTTATTACGTAACTTAGAGCATTCGTTTCATCATCGGACGTCGAGGTAGAATATGAAATTCCACCCGTATCACCTCGACGTCCGTGGTTCCACAACGTGTTTTAAGGCAGTTTTTGCCGCGCTATGTAGAACTGCTTCGAGAAAAGAGCGTACCAATTTTACTAGGCCGGCAACGCACTCGCGAACCTCTGGCATTGAGTGTCCATGAGCGGCGGTATTACTTAACATTAGGTAACAAAAAGCCATAAACTGCTTACATTAGGTGATGTAGCTGAAGCCAACAGTGGCAATAAGCCTCCACAGGCAATGATAAGATTATCCGCCAACTGGCTGATGAGGTGCACAGTATTGACAACAAAAACTGCATTTTCACTGCTGTTCACAAATTCAATCACTGACTTGGTTGAATGACTGCGCCAGACCTGTAAATTTAAAGTACACTTAAGAATAAAGGAAGGGAAATTTTACGCCTTTTTATTGTTATGGAATCAGGTTTTAGTTGGATTACAGAGAAAGACATAACAAGATATAAGTTATCTATTTATAAATTGACAAGACTAAACTATAAGTGAATAAAATTTACAGATGAAACTAAAAAAAACAAACATACAAAATTAATAAGGAAAACCAAAATTACATAATAAAAAATACAAGAAATAATTTTGTCCCATTCGGTGTCGAGACCCTTGGTCCGTGGGGTCCTAGCGCTTTAAGGCCTTTTTAAAGAAATATCAAAAAGGTTAGTCGACATCACAGGAGACCGAAGATGTGGCAGCTACCTCGGACAAAAAATTAGTCTAGCTATTCAAAGGGGGAACGCTGCCACTATCTTCGGAACCTTGCCTAAAGGGACTCCTTTTAATAATATATTTTAGTTTATGTTAAGGTTAGTTATTTATTTCAATGTATAATATATAGAATTTATTAAATATATACTTAGGTAAATAACTTAATAAATATTGAATTAAAAAATAATCTATCTACTATAGGCACTAATAACTAATAGAACTTTTGACAGTTAACCTATGTAATTCGTAATATAGTTATTCATTTTCATAAAGTGATAAATGAAACAAAGTATGAAAAAACATTATTCAGAAAGACTTTGCACGGCTTGACTTTTTTTTTAATATTTCAGAAATATTAATTGTACGAGCCAAATACTCAGACTTTCTTAATTTTATAATCGTCACGATGACCTGAATCGGAGTTACACCCCGAGAGTATACTGACGCAGAACACAGTCTCCATTACATTACATAGCTAACGTTTAATTATTTTAATTACTAAGAGTAAAAATTAAATCCTCAATACTTTTTGACAGTACTTTTTGAGTTGATTAGTTACAAGCATACAAAAATATAAATCTTTCCCATTCACCCTAAAACTCCTTCCTATCTCAAAAATGACTTCAAATTTTTGGGATCCCATAACTATAGCTTACGCTCTTCCGAAAACTATGTCCTTGAAATCCCGTGTCATAACTCCTCCTTTCTTGGCGAGTCCTTTAAGGTCTCTGCAGTTAAGCTATGGAATTCACTTCCAGTCCCTATTCGCTTAGCTCCTTCTCTATCTTCCTTTAAATTTCTTCTGTACAAACATTACCTGTCCACATCGTATCCCTAACTTTAATAATACCTACTGACGTGAGACTGATCTTAAATTAAATTCTTAAATTAAATTATAATGATTCATGTGCACTTTTTATTTATTAGGTATGAATTTTTTTTCATGTGTCCTTTATTAGTTTGTTTTTTGTTCCTGTTTAGTTTCTTTTTCTCAACAACTATTTGTAATACATGTATTTTTGCACTTCTTGTCTACCTTATGTCATTTAATACATTTCTTTTCTCACAGTGGTTGCCTGGAAGAGATCGCTCGAAAGCGATAAGGCCGCCAGTTGCTCTCCTTTTTATTTAATTATGTCAATTGTACTATATTTATGTATATGCAACGAAGTGTTAATAAATAATTAAAAAAATAAAATAAAGTTAATGGAAATAACCAGGTCCCGGAAACAATTGGCAAACAATTTCTAGGATATTTTTACGTACATTCTCTTTTCTTTATTAACTTGAGATATGGGTTTTGTAAATTAATTAATAAATTAATTGTATTAAATAAAACGCACCTGTATATCAGTCTCAAGAGAGAACAGGACATCAGAAAGCAGGCGCTGGTGAATATAAGACCAACGGAACTCCGGGATGCGGAAAGGAGGCCGCGTTGGACCAGGAGAGAACATTGCGCGAGACGCACGCGCCGATCGGGAACATTCTGAAATAACATTTTTATTATTTTTGAACTACTCCAGTAGTATAAATAATGTTGTCATCGCCTTAGTGGCTAAGTAACATTTAGATAGCACACATATATATGTCGCAGCCAACTAGCTTAATTAGCCGTTCAATTAATAGCCTAGCCTTTTAACTAAACGGCTCCGTTTAACTAGCGGCCTGAAAGATGTTCAGCCAGTTGATCAAACCGCTAGGCAAATGATTTGGATCGATGAGATTTCATTACTTGACTAGTCTGTTGACTGTTCATTAAATTCCACTTTCTTTCACTGTCAAACTCAAAACGAAACTCTTCAAACTGTCAATATGGCGTCGGCAAACCACAACTTTGATAGTGTTTTCCAAAGTTTCATGAAAAACAACAAGTATAATGGAAGATTGTAGTGACAATAATAATCTGAATTTGACTCAAGAGATTTAATTTTAAAACAAATATTTTTATGTTTCACTTAAGCATTAGCCAGCCAGTTCATTAAATGTTTTAACAAACGCTACGGCTGAATATCTTTCAGGCCGCTAGTTAAAGGGCACCGTTTAGTTAAAAGGCTAGGCTATTAATTGAACGGCTAATTATGCTAGTTGGCTGCGCCATATATACTAAATATTGCACCTGCAAATATTAAATGTCTCTGGTACGTTAAACTAAATAAATGGAGTAAGAGGAAATGTCTTTTTTATTACTGATCATTTGCAGGAACTCCAAACCATAAAAGGCACTGAGGTATCAAACTTTTACACTTACCAAAATGATTTGAGTCCACTTGAGTACTGGTCGAGGCGCTCCTGGGTCGTTTTGGTGATGTCGAAGTATTAGTTCCTTGCGAGGCAATGCCTTCACCTCTCAAATCAGGCGTTATTTCACTTCCGGGCAAACTTACCCGGCGTTTCTCCCTATCAATATCACATTTATCTTCTTGAATCTCCTGTTCCTTATTCGCTAACGAAATATTCTCACTAATTGTTGATATTGCTGGAATTTCGGGTTTCGGTTCTAGAATCGAACGTGGTCGTTCACTTGATTGTTCGTTCTTTGTATTTTCTTCATCTTTATCAATTTCAATTTCAGTTTCTTTTTCAATTTCTTTTTCGTGTTCTGTTTCATTAGGAACTATAAATTCGTTATCGATTGCTAATTCACTTTTGATGTAATCTTCATTGGGACCTTCAGGCATTTCACTTTTCATAACAACTGAATCGATTATATCCGAAACTATTTCACTAGCGATAGTTTCAACTTGTTTGTGGTCGACAATGTCTTCTATATCGTGCTCTAAGTCTTCTCGCCCATTTGGTGTATTTCCTTCTGAATTGAGCCCACCGGATATAGCGCCGGAATCGGTGTCGTCATCAGTTTTTAATCTTACAGTTTCCAATGCAATCGTCAGTACATCATTAACAATGTTTATGGCAACATGCTTAGGATCGTCAGTGACGTCGTCTGGTAAATCAGTCTTATCTTGTACTTTCTTTGGGCTGGTTGCTTCACTCGGAGTTAAATATAATTCCGATCGATCTGAAAGTTCTGATTCTCTTTCATTAACGGGGTTAAGTCCTTCAGAAACTCTTTCAGGGCTGGTTGTTTCGCTGACTGATAAACTAGAAGGCAATCCCTCACTTTTATCAGTGTTATCATTAACCAAATTCTCGCCAACATCTCTAACAGGTATATAATCGAGGCTTCCCTGTCGCGATATGGGTTTATCGTTTTTCTCATCTTCCGCTACAATACCAGATTCGGAACTTTTGAGAAGTTCATTCTCTACAATCGATTGAACTATTGACTCCGGCTGTTCATCTAATTCATTTTTATCACTATCACAACCGTTATCGGGCACTTGGGTATTTTTGGCAGGACTATGAACTTTACACACTTCACTATACACTACTGTAGTCCGACTATCATCGTTTGATTTACAATTGCACGTTTCTATTTCTCTAAGGGACAATCCTTTGCCGATTTCTGTTTGGGCGGCATGGTTTAATACATTTTGTTTAACATCCCTCTCTGGAGATACTCGAGAAGGACGGGGTTCTGTGTGCCGATCCCATCCTGAGATTGTTGAGATAGGCCGCTGCTGACGTTCGGCGGGGTCAGTTATATTGTCAGCTCTGCGTTGCTCATAATGTTCATACATTTGAGCGAATTGGAGCTTGAATTCTTCGTAAGACACCTATAAATATATTTTTAAGACATTAAGGTGTTTCTTAAAATACTATATTTTCGTTTTCAAAATAGGCTGCTATTTTAATTTATTGTCAGATTAAAAAAAAAATTACATACCTTAGAATGAACAATAGCCAATGTATCCACCCACACTCTCCATCCACCATACTCATGCTTGATTGCGTGATGTAGAAGCATTCTAAACAACGAGTAGACCATGTCAGATATCTTCTGTTCTTCCGTATTCTTCGGGTGAATGTACGCTAGTGCGATCAGCCATTCCTGCCATACGGACATTTGCAATACTGTACGACGGTTCTCTCTATTATTGCTACATAGAAGCGTCATATCTGATAAGAATAATTTCTTCACTTCCAGAAGCTGTTCTGTTTGCTTCGATTGACGGATCAGCGTTGCTACAACTTTGAGGATCACTGAAAAATGGAAATGCATATGTTATTTGTACTTATGAAAAAAAATGTGGGTGGATAGAAATAGGTACGGACTGGCAGACTTAATATTAAAGATAAGTTTAATAAAATTGAAGCTAAACAGCATAAACATAAAATAAGATGTAACTTTAGCCAATGAAAAAAATTTAAATGTTTTTGCTTAAGTAAGTAACTTACTTAACTTAAAAATAACTTTTTTATTAATAAAGTTAAATTTCAATCAAGTTAAGTTAAAATATCCATTAGGTTTAAAATAACTCCGCAAACGGTCTACTACCAGGAGCGCATAATGCGCAAGGATCTTACATTAACGCAATATCACTGCGGAGAACAGCTCTAAATAATGTTATTGAAAGATAAACAAAACAGGAATTCCAGCTTTAACTTAAACACGATACTCACTAGGATTTTCCAGGCGAAAATGCGGTTGCGGTTCTGGATGGGTTGTATACAATATTTGTTGACCGACATGCTCAGTTAACAGTTCGTACAACGCATTGTAAACTGGGGCGGATAATGGCTCCCCACTGGCAGCTAATCTTGTTGCGAGCAGCGTGTAAAGATTATGTGGGGACATCACGTCGTATTTGCGTCTGTGGAGCCAAGAAAATAATTAGAAATTATCGTTGACTACTTTAAAAGTAGTGGTCCTTTTAATGTGACGAGCTTCAAAAGGAAAGTTTTTTGGCTAGTTCTTCTCCGTTCTACCCTTGATTTGAGAACTGGAAGTAATTGAATATTTATCCTTTTTTATTTAATTTACTTTCGTCCTTAAATTTGTTCGTAGATTTGCATGAGACTTCTAGCGAGAGGATAGCTCTGTCAAATAGTTATCAAATCTCATGATGACCAGCTTCTAACTCCAAATGCCCCAACATCACAAACTCCTTTTCCAACAGCGGCAAACCCTAACAAATCTCTGAAGCCTGAAAAGCCGAAAACACTTACTTATGGGTACTTCTGCTGAGGAAAAATCCAAGTAACTTCAGCGCTTGGAGTCTTATTAATTGACTCTCCGAGGCCAGCAGTTTGAATATCGTGCGAACGCCTCCCTGAAATACCAAAGGAAATGGTCAAACACATGGTGGGTATGCTACATCTGGTTCTTTGGGCATACGTACCTTGGCATCAAACGCTGGTACCATAGAACTGGGGTGTTCTGACATCAGAGATATCAGCATTTGCAGCACATCATGAAGGTTCTCATCCTCATGCATCGTGGTCAGATAATTTAATATCGATTGAAGTTCGTCTTCCTTTACACCGTTACCGATCATTATCAGTTGTTTGAGAAACAATAGGATGTATGCTCTTATCGTGAGGATGTCTTTGTGAGCTGGTCGAGGGGCATCTGAAAATGGTTTTAGTGGATTAGATAATGGATACGGGGCTGGCCATGCGTCATACTCGTGAACGGGCGCTACTTGTGGTGACTGGTCGGACTTGAATTCGTGTATGCGGTGATGTTATTTCGACTATGTATTTGGGTGTTGTTCCCATGAGAATGTAAAAGTGTGCTCCTATTTCACCATGTCTACTGCTGATAGAGTACAAATCTTTGTTTTTTATTATTAATTAACTATTAATTACTTAAGATGTCATGTGGAACATGGTGCAACGGTTGCAGCTCCTTACAAACATTGTGTAAAACTAAAAACTTGAACTTAAAATGAGTGGCGGAGAGTTTATTGGCAGTTCTTCTCGTCCGTTCTACGCCGTTGATTTGAGAATTGGCAGTTTATATAAAATTAGAAGCACTTAGCATTTAATATGTATTTCTTTATTGACGTTCATAAGTGTACATTGTGTTACCTAAATGAATATTCATTGAATTGATAAGATTGCGTGTAAAGCCTGCTTTTTTCTATTATTGGTCAAATAATATAAAAAAGCAGAAAATAATTTCGTCAAACGGCAACAATCTGTGGAAGAAGAAAGGGAGGATCCTCGAGTCTAACCACTGAGAGGCCCGAAGACCTCGAATACTCGAGAAGAAACCTCGCTAGCGCGCACCTATGACGTTATTGCATTGACAGCTATAGGTGTCGCTACAAATAATTTAGATGTTATATTGTCAAGTGTGGTGGTGTGTCCAATTCCGAGTTATGAGGGCTTGAAAATATAAAGAAGCATTTATCAGAAGTTCTGAAGTAATGAACTCTACTTAGTGTTGCTATAATCATAGTTAATAAGCGCCCACAGAGCAGGGTTTTTATTTCATTGGTCGGACAATACATGCTTAAGATACTCACCCATGCCTTTAGGCGTGATGCCACTCTTTGTGCGTGGGTTGACCACCCAATAGTAGTACTTAAGTGTGTGGACAGTCTGCAGAACTGTGCTGACACGTCGCACACTGCCATATATGTGAGCATCCGCCAGGAAATCCGTCGCTAAATAGCAGTAAAGACGGGCTTGAACTGCCGCTGGTGTGTGGATCCATAGGGCCGGATTGAAGAGTATGTGGTCCAGCAGCTGCCATGTCAGGAACGATTGGCAAAAAGACTGAATTAGCATAGTTTTACACTGTTCCATGGTTGTTAGCGCACGCCCTCTTGCTTGTAAATGAAAATTGTACATTACTTGTTCGCTTCTACTGTCCTGGTACTTTTTAGTTGTTCTCGTATTATCTATGTTTTAATATATTTTGTTTTTTAATTAATAAATACATTTAGTTAATTAATGCAATTAAAAATCACCCCCTCCTATTATTTACATCCATAGAAATATATTACAAAATTAACTAAATCAATATATTCACTTATATCGAAAATGTGCCACAAGTAATCAAATAGTGCATTTAAGAGAAAAATATGTTCATTGGAATTATCTTGTGTACTTGTGTGTATCATAATACAAAGCTGTGTAATGGGTATGACTGCGCATCGAAGGGGTAAAGCAAGAGGTTCATGCACTTACAACCATGTCATCGAAAAAAGCACATTTTAAGGCGATTTAAACGAAACGTAGTATAAACAGAAATCTATATCTCGCAGCCAATTAGTTTAATCAGGCATTCAATCAACAGCCTAGCCTCTTTACTAAACAGCGCCGTTTAACAAAAAGTGGTCAGAATTAACACAGACTGTTAATATTCTAATGAAATTGAACCCATGACCAGGTAGCTTTAACCACTAAGCTATGGGTTTTCTAGAATAAGTTTTTTGAAGTGAAACTTCTTTATCGGGGTTGGAAAAAAATTTAGTGTAACATTTTTGCGTTACGCGTCACAGTTTTCCGTTACGCGCCATGTTGCTTTTTGAAGTCAAACTTCTTTATCGGCGTTAAAATATGACATATAGTATGTTTTTGACTTTGAAGTTTGACAACGGATTACATTTTCGACTTGAAATTTGCTAATCGCAATTTGCAGCAATTAATTTGTAAATTGTATGCTAGGCAGTGTATCAAAATTTACTGTGTTTAAAGAAATAGTTTCTAATAAGGTCATAAAGAAGTTTCACTTCTTACGTGTGTACACCTAGTACACGCACACATTTTTTATTTTATATGGCAAACGGGCACGAGGCTCACCTGATGTTAAGTGATACCGCCGCCCATGGATACACTGTCATAAGGCTCGCAAGTGCGTTGCCGGCCTTTTAAGAATTGGTACGCTTTTTTCTTGATCGTCGATATACGATCTTTTTAAAATGATTCGATAAATCGCCTTTAATTTAAAAAAAACTTAATTAATAACTTACCTCAAATAATTGCAAAATAGATTAAAATGTCAAATATTATAGAACATTATGGGCATAAAATAAAAAAATCCTTCAAATTGATAATTGACAACATTCCAGCTTCAAATTCAAGTTTTTTTTGTTTAATAAAATTCTGTTACCTCTCACGAGGCTTGATTATTTTTCCCAAATATGGCCCCTTAATTATCTTCCATAGCTAGTAATTAAATAATATTATAGTAGAAATATGCAAATAGCTTATTTCTTTAAAAAATATATATTTGCACTCTGAAATGTTGTCAATTAAGCCTCAAAAGCAGTGCGAATGAAAAAAGAGTTTTTTCTTGCGTGTTTCATTCAGAACCATAAAGCGTTTAGACATTTAAATGTCGATTGGCTGTTCATCTATTTTGATCAGATCCAGTAACTGTTAGCTAGACTTCCTCTGTTTCTGGCCGTGGTGTTAATGGCATTCTTAATTTGAATTTGTGTGAACAAATTTGACAAATGTCACACGTATTTGACAGTTGTTTTCAATCTAATTAACAATTATTTATCACTAGGAATAAAGATAATAATTGTTTTTAATTTACGCCAATTTAATAAACTTTCATTAACAAGTGCACGAATTTATTAGATTAACAGCTATCCTGGCAACGTTTTTTTACCGTTATTATGTCTAGTGAATTCATTTTTTTTTAATTAAAAAAAGTGCCAACATTAGGGGTGGGTCACTTAAGAGTATAATATATATAGTGTACACACCAAAAATATTAAAATCGGTCAAGCCGTTTCAGAGGTGATGAACACTAGATTTTACTATATACTTTATCTTTCAAGACTTCTTTACTTACACTTAACTTTTAATATTATTTTTTTCTACTATTATTATTATTACGTTATTTTTCTTTTATTGCGTCAGAGGCGCAAACACACAAACTAGCTGTTGTGGTCTCTGGCAGAATGACCAGCGCTGTGGAACAGTCTGCTCCTCAGCATAATGCTGAGCCAGGGCCAGTTACAATCACAACACACATTACACACTTAAAATGTACCTTATTCCTTTAATTTTTATTTGTTATTTTTATTTTTTGATTATTATTATTATGTGTGTTTCTGTGTGTGTGTTTAGTTAGTAATAAATGTAATATTTACGTGTAGAAATTGTATTCTTTTTAGTCTGTATAGAAGTTGACACATGACAGACATAACAGACACATGAAAATGTGTTAAATACTTAATAAGGCAATTTTTTATTAGTTAATAATTAAATTTAAATAATTAAATTGTTTTATAATAAATAATTTAAATAATACTCGCGTAAAGAAGACTAATTTTAAGTACCTGTTTAAGCAACAGATCCGAGTTCGGCGAGCAGCAAGTAACAAGATGTTTGGTGAGATGAAGGAAAGACGCCAGCGTGTCCGGCGTGAGATGGTCTCGGCCACAGCGTTGCAGCATATGCGATATTACCAGGAACCCACGACATTGCAGCATATGCTGTTGTACTGTGCTGCAGGACTCTACCAACGAGCAGACGAAGCCAAGCAGTTTGGAGCTGGAATGAGAGAATGATACTGTTATTTGTGTCATCTACAATTTTTACACGCTTTATATTAGCTTCACCTGTATGTATGTATGTAACCGACTCCTTCGGACTCGATTTTGACCCACTTTAAACGGACAGATTTAATTCAAATTTTGTGCACCTGTCAAAGATCGATGACAATGCAATAATCCGAAAAAAAAATTAACTAAAAATAAATAATAGTTAAAAGCGTGGGTTGCTCGATAGACGAAAAATATAGCACAGAGCGCCCCACGCTTTTTCACAATAATACCAGTATTTTTTGTTCATTACCATTTTCAGCCTAAATTAGGAATTATTTTTCACTTTTTAGTTTGATGTGCTTTAAAAGCGTGTTTTTTAGTTTTTTTAAACTATTATTTATTTTTTATTGAAGTTATACTTCATTTGGCGCGTTAGGGAATAATGATGAGAGTAAATTTTTACGAAGCATGCGCACACCGTCACAAAAAACCTACACCCTGAAGTTAGCTATAGTCACAATTTTTGATTTGTCTATTGTAAATGTCGTTTTTTCTTTTTTGAATTTTTGAAAAGAATTTTATCTTATTACGCGTAAGAAGTACTCACGTTTTTAATTGGACATTTTTTTTAGGTTAGTTATTTTATAATTAATTGTATAATTGACATTATAAGAGCGTTCTGAACGTCAAAAATGAAATACCTGTTTTGAGGTAGGCATGACTTTATACATACATACAAATATATATTATGTTAATACAATGTCGTTATCACTGAACTAACTTGAAACGAGCCGTTTAAATGACAACCAACAGAGAGGACGAACAGTAATTATATTTTAAGTAGGAAAGATAATGTTAACTTCGAATGGCGTACAATTAATTTAAATACGTCCCATATTCAGTGAGGTATCTTAACTCTGAGTGCACTTAGGGATTTATTTCTTTGACAAAGAAAACGTCGCAAAAAAGCGTTCCGACTCCAGATCTCGCTCTGACCTATTTTACGAAGATAGGTCGGACTAAAAGTCTAAAGAATATTTTGAAATATACATCAATAAAAAAAATGTGCGTGCGTACTACACGTTAGAAGTGAAACTCCTTTGGCAAAATAATTTTTTAACTCTTGTTCATTTTTTTTTCTAAAACTTTAGATTTTCGAGACTTAGAGGATGGAAAAAGGAAGATATGTTAGAAATTTAATGAATTTAATTGTCATTAAAATATTAAAAGTGTCGAAAATGAATACAAACTATAAATTTATTTCTCTGAAAATAAAAACACAAATTTACTCCCATCATTTTTCCCTAACGTGTCAAAAAGTATAACTTCGCCAAAATTAAATTAAAGGCCAGAAGTGCAAAAATACACGATACAGAACTAAAATAGAAGCCAAGAAACTAAGCTAAAAAGGACACATGAAAAAGAAAAAGTAAGCCATTATTTATTAAAAACACTATTTCGGCACAATAAGTTTGAAAACTCCGCAATTGGAGCAAATATTTGATCTCAAAAAATTACTGTTAAATCGGAACTGAACTCACAACCGTTATAAGCGTTAACCACTAAATTAAGGTTCAAGTTCAGTTCAAATATTATGCAAAACTTAAACGGCTGTCAGCATAATAAGTGTTTAGTTAAACAACCCGTCAGAACTGAGTACCCGAGGAACAGGCAATTAGAAGTTGGTAGGAGTTACTTATAAGCCGGCAGACTCGATATGCCGCGCTAACTCCCGTGATTAGTGATCGACATCGAAAGTGCATTTCGCCGGGCAACTTTGGAGCTACTTAGAATATTAATGAATGGACCAAACGCTCATATCTTCAAAGTTAGAAGTTTGTGCATAAATTATACTACAGAGCACATATGTTCAACACGTCACGCGATTCTTGGAATTTATTCGATGTTAATAAATATTAGCAATGCATTTAAGTGATATAATAACTCTTTTGCAAAAAAAAATGGCACTGAAGAAAATGTATGTTCTAAAATTCGGTACATTAAATAATATTTAATTGTCTGATGTGGTCTGTATAAAATATTTATTGAAGTGAAACTTCTTTAGGCGCATGAGGGTAAATTTTTAACGAAAACGTCACGAAGATGTGCAGCGTTTTTGTCGAGGAAAGGGAGAGAGCGATTGAGAGAGAGTGAGAAGGGAGAATTACCTTATAGAAATTCTATTTTAAAATTAAAATTTCGTAAAGAGAATTTATGAAATATTAGTATTTTATGCAAAATAATTTATTGAAATCTCAAATGACCAATTGTAAATTAAAATGCCACGTGTTTTTTTATCAAAGAAATAAATTTAAAAAATTAAATTCCTAACATAATCTTCCTTTTTCCCTCCCTCAAGTCTCGGAAATCTAAAGTTTTAGATTTGTATAAACATGAATGAACAAGAGTTAAAAATTAGTTTGCCAAAGAAGTTTCACTTCTCACGTGTACTTTGTACGCACGGACTTTTTTTTATATGAAATTTAGACACTTACATATAAACACTAATTAATAAGAAAGCGTAGGTCCCTAATTTAATGAATAAGGGACCAATAAAGATAGATCTTATTTCTCTCTCTCAAAATAAAAAAAATGTTTCCGGTTAAACCGGAAGATACGCTGATGATTCAAAATGATTAATTAATTAAAAAAATAAGGGTAATCCGAGTTATGGGACCCTTTTAACCCTTACATATTAATATTAAAGTACCAGGACAACATACCATAACATGGGGTCTCTTTTAGGATCATTTGCGGGCGCGTCGTGAGGCAGGTCCAATTGAGCGAACAATGGAAATAGAACTTGAACGCCTCCTATGGAGTTTAGGGCGCTGTGTATAGAATGTGTCACTATGGCTTTTACTTCCTGAAATAAATAATGTCAGTTTAGTCATAAAATTATTCTTTCTATACATATATATTTTTTACATATAGTTTTTTGTAAAATACACCCGGTATCATTAGCACAATATATACCAGAGTAACATGACAACATAAGAGTCTGCATACCTGTAACATTAGGGCGTGCGGCGTATGCACAAAGTACGAGACGTTCCCTTTGGGCGCGGACTGTAGGCACAGCTGTCCATCAGTAGCCACCGGGTTGTACATAAAAACTATGGCCGATGACAATTTGCCGTCATATAGTACCTGAATATATAATCAAAATTATTAATTAGTATTTGGAATTTTGCCCTATATTTTAAATCTCCTAGTTAGCTCTTAGTCCCTAGTACATTATTTTTTTAATACAAGGCATATCTTGTCTTGTTATCAGCGCCGTTACTCTGTAACTTCTAATAAGCTAAAGCGATTCCGTTCCGTACCTCAATAGAGTTTTTGAACCGCGCGATTCCAAGGTTTGATCAGCGCTATCACTGTAAGAAGTTACAGAGTACGACCGCAGGTCCAATTAATAAGAATTAGAATCTATCTAGAGACACTAAAATGTAATTAAAAATTAATTAACTATTAATTAAACATTCTATTAAATACATGTAGATAATTAAAATAACTAGCTATATTATATAGAAATTACCATTCGTTAAACAAATCACAATTATTACGTTCTGTCACGTTTACTTCGACAGGAAAAAAGGGACAGAACATAATTTAATAAGCAAGGAAGTAATTCCAAAAAATAGCTATCACCAATTACCAAGCATTACTCATACATAATAGGCATAAATACAAATAGAAATATGATGACAAACACAAATAAATCACAGATTCAAGTAACCATCACCACACAGAAGACGACGGCCATAAAGCAATGAAAACATTCATAATAAAAGCCTAATTAATCGACCTCTTAACGCAGATAAAGGCGTACTGTAGTATGAACAAATTAAAAAAAACATTTAAAGAATAAACACACGGCGGTCACGTGACTTTGTAAATCTCTGTAAAACGATGAGGCGTTATGTTTCATTTCATTTAGAGACCTGTGTTCATGGAGCAAAATTAAAGGAAGGTGCGGCTCCGACCTGTAGGGAGGATCGTTGATTAGTCTTACCACTGGTCGGCCCGAAGACCTGGGGTCTGGCTAACGTTGATCAGTATAAAAACTAGCAAGGGGCGCAATTCTGTGCAGCTACATTCATTGCTACTACAGAAGACATATTGGCGTTTGAGTTAACTTAATTTCCGCGACTTGTGTCGTAAAAATAAACTGTCAACGCAATTTGTACGCAGGTGCGCTGTATTTCTTTCGGTAAAAAAAGTTACAAAAATGTTTAAAGTGCAAAGTTTCCTAATGAGTTCGTCGGAAAACCGATCTTCCGAAAAATTGGGTATATTAAATGCGCCATTATTCATAAAAAAAAATCAGGAAAAGATTCAGTAACTTATTATGACTCTTTTGGACTTGAAATAAAAAAAACAATTAATATTTAACTAATTGAGGAGCACCTTAAGTTTTTATGAGAATATTATGGAAAAAATTAAGTACTGAAATATAATCTGTCAAAGAAATTGATAATAACAAAGAATCCAGGGACTAGGATCACAGAAGTGGGAGCTATCCGTAACTGTCCTAATTAATTTTTAAAATTCAATCAGGGAAGTTTAATGACATCCACCGGAAGTCGGCGCAGACGAATCGCGAATTTAATATTTAATGAATAAATTTTACGGTGCTGCGTAAATCATGAGATATAATTGGAAAATGCTAATTTATTATATTTATAGTATAGAATTTGTTTAGTTTGAGCAATGTTGGCCTAGTGGCTTCAGCGTGCGACTCTCATACCTGAGGTCGTAGGTTCGATCCCCGGCTGTGCACCAATGGTTCTATGTGCGCATTTAACATTCGCTCGAACGGTGAAGAAAAACATCGTGAGGAAACCGACATGTCTTAGACCCAAAAAGTCGACTGCGTGTGTCAGGCACAGGAGGCCGATCACCTACTTGCCTATTACATTTAAAAATGATCATGAAACAGATTCAGAAATCTAAGGCCAATAACTAAAGAGGTTGTAGCGCCACTGATTTTTTTATATTTATTTGTTTAGCGGCGTGGATTAGGTCTTTTCACAGTAAACATGTATTTGGAAATTTGCCCTATATTTTTAAACTTCCTAGTGAGCTCTTAGCCCCTAGTATATTATTTTTTTAATACTACTTCTCTTGTGCCACTTATCAGCGCCTGGTACTCTGTATGTGTAACTCCTAATAAGCTAAAGCGGAAAAATGATCTTTCCGGAGAATGAGTTTCAGCCAAACTCCATTCTGATAAACGAGCTGGGTCTGGATATCCATTAATTGTTTTGTTTAGTTTTATTTTGATTATCTCTTCGTGTGTTATGTTTGCCTATAATAAGTGCATGTCACATTAAACATTCTCTTTTATTTATCTTGTACCAATGTATCTGTGTGCAGCGTTGGCAAGCTTTTACAAATAAATAACAAACGTTTCTTAAAGTTTCGTTAAGCCGATTGGGTCAAGAAATAGTCTTGATGTAAAAACAGGGTATTTCAGAGTTTTTGAAAAACAAATCATCCAATTAAAAGTAATTTTGAATGACACAAGTCCGAATAATTTAAAAACAACATGGCGCGTATCAACTTTTAGCTTTTTTTTCGTTTAGCTTACATAAATTGTGTGTAATCATGGCTACCGTCATGTAAATTATATGTACATATTAGTCGAGAACTGTCTGGAATACAGTTCCCAATAGTTCCCATAGTAGATATGGGGAGAAATTGGCTGTGGCAAAAATTTATCTGGAATTGTGTAGGAAAAACACCATTTGTATGGCAATCAAGTTTTATAATAATTTACCAAAAACATTAAAAAATCTTCGTACTAGCGTTTTTAAATATTTACCTTATGTACTACTTTTGGTCAAATGTATTATTCTATTAACGATTATTTACGTGAAACATTTTTTATCACACTACAAATTATATAAAAATTGGCTTAAATGATATGATTCTAATGTTAAACTTCCCTTTAATACAAATTTGTAATTTGTGTGGCAGAATATGCGAACTGTAGGTCGTACCACCATAACATTATTGTACTTTCTAGCTAATAAATTATTATTATTAATAGTATCTCAATCAGGGTAGTCATTTGGAGACCTTAAGCACAACATCATTTTATGGTCAAAAAATATTATTAATAATAATTTGCGCAGGTTTATATTGTTGACCCAATAATCGCCGTATAAATGTACTTAAACTGGCTGTAATACATTTAAATAAGTGTATTCAACGCTCAATCGGGCCTAAACCGTTTTTATACGTTATTTTCCTTTCATTTATTATGTTTATCTTATCATCTCAATTGTTTTACGCTGTGTTGACTCGGGTCTTACAAATTAAATATAATCTGAGAAATACAAGAAATTTAATGTAACCATTGCCAAGCGCAGTTTAATCCTTAATTTAAAAGAAGGAAAAGATGATGATACTGTTACATCTAGAATTACAAATATATATAAATATTTTTTTATAAATGTCGAGGTTATGTGCTCCCAAAGCCGTAGTCAAAATCAGTCTCTGTACTAGGGGTTCAGCACTGAAATGGATATTAGAAGATCAGTCAGAAAGATGTCCCGAAGTATCATGCGTAAGTATTGTACCAGGATCCCATAATATTATCAGAGTTATAAACGTTCCCTTACTATAAACTCAA